GAGCATGGAGATGAAAAGAAAGAGTTTCCCCGAGCAGTTCTTGCGAAGGACTTTGAAGAGGTTCAGTGTAGGAAAGGAGGGGATCTGGCAGACGAGCAGGAAGTGGATGTGTGATGAAATGTAATGGAGTAGTATGCAGTAGGGTGGGAGAACGATGGCGTCAGGGGTATGTTATCGCCCGTTGATAAAGGTTTCGATGTATGACTGTATGTGTTTGCATTTGAGTGTCAGTTTTGAGTATTGTGATGATAGCGTAGGAATGTTGGAATCACCAGTTGGCAGTTCGCAGTTTTGTTGTTTCCATGTTGTTGTGTAATGCGAATTTTGGTTTCAGCTACGTCTCATGGTTGATAGTATGTAATGGGAACCGACACGTGGTATGAGGTAGTTATGATGTTAGCCAGACTAGTGTCGGAAGTAAGTGTAACAGATTGGGATAAGGTGTAGTGTTGTATGGTGTTTGTCAGACATGCAGAGAAGGATCGGGATAGGGTGCAGTGCTGTATGGTGTTGGTCAGACTGGTGTCTAAAGCTAGTGTGAATGGATGTTAGCAATAGGGTCCAGGTCTCGAACTGTACGTTCATTGAGGAACAACGGTTCAAACCCAGGACCTTGAGTCCGATATCTGGGTTTTTTAATGTAGGGACGACGTTTCAAACCAGTTCGACAGCTAAGCGATTTCTGTCCGGTTCAGGAAGGGCCGGGGGTCCGCGTCTAGGTCGACCATAGACAGCAATAGGACAGAGAGGGGAACAGTAAGTAGAACCACAGACAACAATAGGACAGAGAGGGGAACAGTAAGTAGAACCACAGACAGCAATAGGACAGAGAGGGGAACAGTAAGTAGAAGTATAAGTACAGTAATAACGACTTCAGTAGTTTTTGAAACTTGCTTTACGGGCTCATCACTGATGGGTAACGTGGAGGCGAGCGTGGGGTTGAGGAAGGAAGGATGCTTAGGATAAGAGAAAGGGAGAAGCATGGTGTTTTTTTCCCCCTGATGAGACCGCATGGCGGCGGTCGAAACCGGGGGTGCCAAACCCACCGGTGAAGTGAACTGTACGGCGCACTTTGGTGCACGAGAACTGGTGTATGATAATTTGTATCTAATGTCTGTGCATTTTGATGATTGTGTACCTGTATCCTCATGAATACATACTGAATACATACTAATAATAAAAATAAATAAAAATAAACAAAAATAATAAATAAATAAATTTAGTGAGTGCGCGAGCATGTTTTCGACACCGCCATCTTTGGCGATTTTTCATGTTTTTTTGGCATAGCTAAATGCCCTGAAAATTTACAGATGTGTACTTCACTTAGTAAAAAACCCACTAAAAACGTTTCAAAAAATAATAAAATTGATTAGACCCCGAACTAAAGTGAAAACAAAAAGTAAAAAGTGAAAAAATACGTGGGCGAGCACGTTTTGACATCGCCATCGTTGGCGATTTTTAATTCTTATTTGGCTTAGCCAAATGACTTAAAAATTTACAGGCATGGACCTCACGTTATAGAGAACTCACAAAAATAATTCAAAAAACAATAATTATTTTTAGGCCCCGAAATAATTTTTGGCGGGGGCCGAACGAGGTCGGGTTCGGACGTCGTACGGGACCCCGAACGCCCGTACGTACGGAGGTCTGCCCGAGGACCTCCGTACGGGCTGGTGACCCTGTTTGGATACCACTGGGCAGACCTCCGTACGTTCGGGTGTTCGGAGTCCCGTACGGGGTCCGAACCCGACGGCGTTCGACCCCCGCCAAAAATTATTTCGGAGCCTAAAAATACTTGTTTTTTTCTGAATTTTTTTTATTAGTTCTCTATGCCGCGAGGTACATGCCGATAAATTTTCAAGTCATTCGGCGTAGCTAAATGAGACTTACAAATCGCCAAAGATGGCGGTGTCAAAACGTGCTCGCCCACGTTTTTTTTCACTTTTTACTTTTTGTTTTCACTTTAGTTCGGGGTTTAAACAATCTTATCATTTTTTGAAACTTTTTTAGTGGGTTTTTTATTATGTGAAGTACACATCTGTAAATTTTCAGAGCATTTAGCTATGCAAAAAAAAAAAAAAAAATCGCCAAAGATGGCGGTGTCGAAAACATGCTCGCGCACTCACTAAATTTCGTTCTCTTTGTATTTTTATTTATTTTTATTATTAGTATTTGTTCTGTATATTTTATTTTTATTTCAAATTTGGTAAGGAATTCGGACGTAATGCTCAGGCAAATCTTGTTTAATTTATTTTTCTCCATAATATATCTTTTTTTCAGATTTTTTTGATGACTGTTTTTTTTTTGTGTTTTTTTTTTTGGGTCCGCGTTCGGCCCGAACGGCCGAACACATTTCGAAGGGGTCCCGTACGTTCGGGCGTTCGGGTTCGGGCGTTCGGCCCGTCTCCAACGCCGATTACCCTGTATATATATATATCGTCAAATAGAACTGCCCGGTAAACCGTAGGCAGAGTGGGAGAAGAGGACAACAAATGAGGGGTTGTGACAAACTGTTTCGTTAGAGTTTCACCGACTTATCAGGAGGCTTAACACTCAACAGTCTGCAGAATCCCCTCACTGATTACACTGTAAGCGATAACCCACCTTAACCGAAATCAAAGTAGACTATCACTCACCCACACCAGATGGAAAACTCTACAGACTGTATATATATATATATATCGTCACAAATATATATATATATATATATATATATATATATATATATATATATATATATATATATANCTCCCCCCTTCGCTGTGTGTGTGCGTGTGTGCGTTCCGAGTGCGGTCTGTGTCTGACGGCACATCGGACCAAATGGTTTGATGAAACTCATAAAATTACTTCCCGATGCGCAGGGTGCCTAAGGAAAACGAGCGGCACTACCACCTTGCAAATATATATATATATATATATATATATATATATATATATACAGGGTTACCTGACCGAACGTTCGGGGGCCCCCGGGCTGGCCCCCGAACGTTCGGGCGTTCGGGGGCCGAACACCTCGAGGTTCGGCCCCCGCCAAAAAACATTTCGGGGCCTAAAAATAAGTTTTTTTTTCTGAATCGTTTCGTATGAGTTTTCTATGATGTAACCTACACGCCTATTAATTTTGAAGCCGTTGTACTAATCCAAAAAAACATTAAAAATCGTCAAAGATGGGTGTGTCAAAACGTGTTCGCCCACTCACTATGTTGTTCTTTTTCACTTTTAATGTTTTTTTTTCACTTTATTTCGGGGCCTAAAAAAATTTATTATTTTTTGAAAAAACATTAATGAATTATTGATTATGTAAACTAAATATCTGTAAATTTTCAGGGCATTTATCAATGCCTAAAAATAATTAAAAATCAGCAAAGATGGCGGTGTCGAAAAGGTGCTGACACACTCACTCATTTCAATTCACTTTTTTTTTTTTTTTTTTTTTATCATTGTGTTTATTTTTTGTATTTGATTTTTAATTCAAATTTGATAAAGAATCTGGATACAGTGCCCTGGCAAACGTTGTTTAGTTTATTTTTTTCCGTAACATAAGTTTTTTTCGAAATTTTGTGAAAACTTTGTTGTTTTGTTTTGTTTTTGTTTTTTTGGGTCCGCGTTCGGCCCGAACGGCCGAACGCCTTCCTGACCCCTGAACATTTAGCTTTTGGGGGTCTTGTTCGGGGCCCGAACCTGACGGGGTTCAGCCCCCACCAAAAAAAATTTCGGGGCCTAAAAATGTTTTTTCTTTTTGAACCTTTTTTTGTAAGTTCTTTAGGATATGTGATATAAACATATATATTTTCAAGCTATTTTGCAGAGCCAAAAAAAATAAAAAATTGTCAAAGATGACGGTGTTTAAACGTGCTCGGCTATTCGATTCTTTTTTTTTTTTTTTTTTTCAGTTTTGTTGTGATTTTATTTTGATGCCTTAGATATTTTACTATTTTTTTAAAAAATTTTGCATGAGTTTTTTATTATATGAAGTACACATATGTAAAGTTGCAGGGCATTTGGCTATGCAAAAAACAAATAAAAAATCGCCAAAGTTGGTGGTGTCGAAACTGGGCTTTCGCACTCACTAATTTTAATTCTCTAATTTTTGTTTTTAATTTTTAATTATTTTCTTATTACTTTTTTTTTTTTGCAAATTTGGTAAGGAATTTGGATGTATTGCTTAGGTAAATGTTGTTTCGTTTATTTGTTTGCATAACATATGTTTTTTTTTGCAAATTGTTTTGTTTTTTTTTTTTTTTTTTTTTTTTGTCCCTGTTTGACACGAACGGCCGAACACATTTCCAAGGGGTCCTGTACGTTCGGGCATTTGGCCTAAGCCGGGTTGCCAGACTGAACGTACGGTGACCCCTAAGCTGACCCCCAAACGTTCGGGTGTTCGGGTCCCCGTACGGGGCCGAACATGAAAGGGTTAGGACCCCACAAAAACTTATTTTGACATCTAAATAATACTTTTTATTTCTGAAATATTTTATGTGAGTTCTTTGTGATGTAAGGTATCGCCCTGTTAATTTTGAAGCCATTCTGTTTAGCCAAAAAAACATGAAAAATCGTCAAAGATGGTGGTGTCAAAACTTGCTTTCCCACTCACTAATTTGTTTTTTCTCTCATCCGACTTTTTGTTTTTCCTTTATTTCGTGGTATGAAAAAAATATTATTTTTCAAAAGTTATTTGGAAATTCTATGTTATATAAGCTACAGATATATAAATTTTCATGGCATTTGTCCCAGCCCCAAAAAAATAAAAAATCCCCAAGGATGGCGGTGTCAAAAACGTGCTCGCCCCCTCAATCATTTCGTTCTCGTTTTTTTTCCCCTAACTTTACCATTATTATTTATTTTTAGCAGAATATTTTTATTTTTAACTTGGTAAAGAATTTGGATGTCATGTTGAGGCAAATGTTGTTTAGTTTATTTTTATGCATAACATATATGTTTTTCAGATTTTTTTTTTCTTGTTGTTGTTTTTTGGGTCCGCGTTCAGGCGAACAACCGAACGTGTCGAGAGTGGGTCCCGAACATTCGTGTGTTCGGGTTCGGGTATTCGGCCCATCCCGAACACCCCTAACCCTATATATATATATATATATATATATATATATATATATCGTCACAAACATGAATTCCCGATAAACCGTAGGCAGAGAAAGAGAAGAGGACAACAAACGAGGGGCTGTGACAAACTGTTTTGTCGGAGTTTCACCGACTCATCAGGAGGCTGAACCCTCAACAGTCTGCAGAATTCCCTCACTGATTACACTGTAAATGATAATCTACCTTAACCAAAATCAAAATAGACTATCACTCACCCACACCAGATGGAAAACTCTACAGACTATCGGTTCACACCCCATCACAAGGCAGTAAAACATCCACGAAACAAAGAAAGGTCTGTCAGAGCCAAAAAATACACTCCAGATACGCCGCTGGCACTAGAGGCACAACATGGCCGCCTAGTAACGGCCCCGACCACTGCCGCTCGGCCTGACCGGAAACAACCGTAGCAGGAAGCTAGCGAAGTCGTAGCACATATCGTCACAAACAGAACTGCCCGGTAAACCATAGGTACAGAAAGAGAAGAGGACAACAATATATATATATATATATATATATATATATATATATATATATATATACATAAGGTGACCAGCCCGTACGTGCCGAGGTCCCTAGGCCGACCTCCGTACATATGGGCGTTCGGTGTCCCGTTCGGGGTCCGAACCCGAACTCGTTCGGCCCCCGCCAAAAAATCATTTCGGGGTCTAAAAATAAGTTTTTTTTTTCTGAATATTGCTTTGTGGTTTCTCTATGATGTGAGGTACATGCCTATAAATTTTGAAGTTATTTATCTGAACCAAACAAAAATTAAAAATCCCCAAAGAGGACAGTGTCAAAACGTACTCGCCCTCTCACTATTTCATTTTAACTGTTTGTTTACGTTGCATACGGTACACGTATGGGGCTTTTCCGTACAAAACGTATAGGTAATATCTTTATAGGATCTGTAGGGAAACTTGTATGGGAACCTGTACATCTTGTACGCCCTCGTACGGAACACAAAAAAAAAAAAGTTATCAAAACAATCTGAAAAACAAATATATCAAAAAAATCCAAGAAACAAATATGTGATGCAACAACACAAAACAAGCAACATTTGGTTGAACATAATCTCTATATTCTTATTAGAATTTGATAATAATATAAAAAAAAACTCGTACGGTGTCCCTAGCGTACGAATAGCATATGGGTACAATAGTACGATTCCGTACTCGTACAAGGGTGCGTACAAACTATTGCGGGGCCAAAAAAAAAAAAAAAGTACTCGTTCGGGTTCGGCCGTTCGGCCCGTCCCGAATGCTGGTTACCCCATATGTATATGTATTATATTATATATTAAGAATATAATATATATATAATTGTTTATCTTATCATTTCTATGCATTTGAAATTAGTCAGAAATTATATTTTTATTGTTTTAGGAATACAAAATTTGATGTTGCGTTAGATTCTTTATAATAAATACATTGTTAGGTACACATATGTCTAAATAATTTGAATATATATACATAGAGTTTGTATATATATATATAGTTCTAAGTTTCATTCTATTGAATTAATCAAAAAATAATAAGTGAAAATAAGTTGCAACTTCTTTTTTTTTATTCAATAGAATAAGACTTTGTACTTAATGTGTGTGAAAGGGATGGAGACAGACAAACTGACCCAATAACTCAAGAGCACACAGCCGCACACTGCACGGCAATCACACTGTGTGAAAAGCAATCTCGAAGTAACTCACTGAGGATAAGCAAGAAGCACGGAGTCACAGAAAAGCCATAGTCGAGCTATGGCCACTGTCACCGCCCCTACCACTGAATAAGATTGAACTCATGGGACAACGACGGCTGACAATCCCCGAGTAGTTTCAGCCGCTGCCAAAGGCGACTTCATCAGGGGGAACGAGATGTTATGATACCCTACTAGAGACCTACTTATGCACGGGAAATCAACATCACTTCGCTAAGTCGTTCCGCATAACTCCTTGGCCACGGTGCCCGCTCTCATGCCGTAGCAGCCTCTAACTGCACCAACCCCCGAACCCCATCCGGGTACATGCGTCATGCTTGCAGAAACCCTTTCCTTACTACCCCTGCTTTACGGTCCACCAGTTACCACCTGCCTGCGGCCTCACTTACCTCTATTCCGGTCGGTACTCCACCACATTTCTCCACGTCTTTTTTTTTTTTTCCGTACTCATTACGTGTTCTTCAATATCCCGCTACTTGACTCAGTTACGACAACATTTCGAAATCCGACAGCTTACCCAGACCAATATCAGAGGATTCTGGCCCGTTTTTTTCACGATTTCGTTCCTTATACTCTTTCGAAAAAGACAGTCTTTTTTTCAGTCCAGCAAGTTCGTCGGTATACAATTTATTCTCTTGCCTTTACCATACTTTCAGGTGCGGCGGTGGTCATCCAACGAGCCTACACGTAACCCCATTAGCACCCCCCTTTTTTCACCAACTGCACAGACGTCTTTTCCATTTTTCCCAAGAGGGGGCATGCTTTCGGGCGTATTTTTCCAGACACCCATTGAACAACTCCGCAGGGTAGTCTTGCAACCTTACCTGCCTCTTCATTGTGAGAAGAGGCAGTCCAGCAAGCTCGGTCGTAGACGTCATACTCCGAATTCAGTGAAGAACGCTGGTAATTACTGCTTTTTTCTACCTGACCAGGGGAAATGAGTCGTAGTCCTGAAAAGTTCGGTAGGACAGGACCCCATCACTCCAAACCTGCTCAAAGTTCTTCGGGGAACTCTGGCAGGTTACCTCATTCCTGCAGACTTCCACTTGAGTACCCAGAAACTCCCATGTCCCCTCCCCCCATCAGTCCTTTTCAGGTTTAGCTTATCATCATACGCTCCTCCAGACTTTTCCATAACCTTCTTCCGACGAATCTCCCCATATCTAGCTGGACATCAGGCAAAGATGGAAACGTCGTCAATCAGTTTTACTCCTCTCACCAAGTTTCTGTCAGCACCTAGGTTCATCAGGACTTGTTGCTCATTCATGGCACACAATATGCAGGCCAATGGGGGACTGCTACTTTTCCCCATTGGTTTGCCGACCTGCTGCTTGATCGGTCTATCCGATGCCACCAGGTAAGTGTGATCCAGTTCAAAATCCACCATACTTCGAATCATTGCTAACTCAACCTCGATCCACCACTCGTTACCTATTTTCTTTGCTAAGGCGGATCTTTTCCCCCTTCTCCTGACATTCACGCTTGACTTCCCTTTCCTCGCGTACCAGTCCAAGATCCGGTCCACAACTCTTCTGATAGAGTTATGTGGGAGCTGGTTGAACATTTCCTTAATGTCAAAGGTTGCTCCCGTTAACTCCCCTTTACCTTTTGATCGTACCCATGCATTGACTTCCCTCACCCTGTCCTTCAACATGTTAGTTGACTTCAGATTAAAAGCACAGTCTTCGGAAGCAGGAATAGCAAATGGTTAAGTGCCCTAGCCACTCTTCTTTTTAGAATGACGGGCTGATTGGCCGGAAACGACAAACATCCTTCTGTTTAGAAATGATGTATGCGCGCCCGCACTTCCCGCTTCTATCCCAGTTCCCCAAGTTTCTTAACCCTTGCTTCTTGTAATCTCCCTCACATTCTGCAAGTACCTCCGCTTCGGATTTCCAGACTGCTGTGAAACTGCTACTCCCCCAGAATGTGTCCTGCATCCCCTTGGCGTATACCAGGGGGCACATTACCATTGTTTCAGCCGTATTCCTATCTACGGCAGAACACACGAGTCGAGAGAGAAGAGCTTTGCACTTCTCAACTTCGGCCTGAACATCTTGGCCGTGTTTCAACCGTCCATTCCCACAACTTTCTGCTTCGGACAACCCGACGACAACTCTCAGGCCCAGTTTTGCCAGACTGTCGTTGATTTCTCGCATCACCACCCTTCCCTTCGTCCGTTCTCCCACTGGAACGATATTCTTAGCATTTTTAACGAATCTGTGAATGACATCCAGGTCACTCATCCGACGTAACACGTGACCCTCCACCTTCGGGAGTGCGCTGTCTGCGCAACTGCAGACTCCCACCATCTGCTGAGAGGCAGAACGGTGATTGTGAAGGACATCCCCTACGGTGTGTTTTTTCTTCCACACTGTAAGGAGCCTTTGACACGTGTATGAGGCTAGCGACTCGGGCAGCTCACCTCGTACCTTATCCTCAACCAGCTTTCGAACCCTTCTCATTGATATCCCAGTATTATAAGTAATCGAGGCACTCATAGGTTTCCTAATATTAAAACGAAATCTATTCCATATTACCCCTGCCAGCGTGTCCTTGAGAGACGACTGTGTGACAGAGCATGGAAAAACAGCCCACTGCGGAAACCAACTTCATCAACTTATCAATACCGTACTTATAGAGTTTCTTCTTATACCATGCGTTGCAGATCAGTTGATGTAGTTCTCTTTTCAGCTCAACTTTTCCTTTCGACAGGGATCTCTTCCGCAACTCGACTATCTCCACTGTTCCGCCTTCCTCCAACTTTTCTCTCATCTCCCCAGTGCTCCTTTCTTTGATCCAATCTTAACAATTGAGTTTCCGGTTTCCTTAGTTACCACGCCCCACTTCTGTCCCCATATCTTACCACTCTCCGACCTAAACCTCTTACTTCCCTCCCATGACACCAGGCATATCTTAATCAGATCTACGCTTCTCAGTTCCTCTGATTCAAAGATAATAGGCAACTCCTTAACCACACCATAACTTCTCCCTTTCTTTCGTTCCTTCCTTCCCTTCCTTGTATTTCTCCTGGTCTGTTTTCCCTTCCCTTTTCAGTTGAGAGTTGGTGACCATTTCCTAATGTATGTTTTCTCAACCCGCTCGAGATCATGTGTTGGAGCAAAAGCAATAGGTACGGCAATATAGTCCGAGACGTCTGTGTGCCGAAACCAATTAATATACAGTTTCGAGTTACGATTACCTTCTCTATGGTTGCACCTATACACATGCTCCTCCCAATAGGTGTTCAGGCATCGCTTCGTCTATCCTATATATACAGCCCTTACGTTAGGATTAATCAGAACATAAACACACTCTCTCGGGTCCTCCCACTTTGCTAGATCGATATCGATCAACTCAAGCCAGTTACCAGCATACTTCGATCCCCACTGCACCTCCCCTTTCAGTACGAGTAGCACAATTAGGTATCTAAGCACACGTTCCAGTGTGCCTCTTACTCCCGGACTCCCCCAACTCGGATCCCTGAATAAATACTCTTCGCAGCCTTAAGTACGGGCTCAACTCTTCCCATAGCTCACGTGTCCTACGGTTCGTTAACCCCGGGGTTCCCCTCATTTGCGGGGGTTCCCCGATTGCGTCTTGTGGGTCATCTCGCTGCACGGCCTCACGGATTACAATGCCTCCGTTACGTGGCCTGGGTGTTGGCGTAGGTGCAGGCACCGTCCGTGGTGGTGTCTGGGTACTGAAGTACATCACGCAGATCTTGACCAGCTCATCCACCACTTCCGGACGCCCGAGGTACACCACACCAACTTCTTTGCACATTTCCTCAATTGTTGGCTTGAGCTTCTTTCCTAAGAACTTGCGGACAACCTTTCGGAATGTCGTTATCGTCGTGTAGTCTTCTGCAGATGGGGCTCCCTCCCAAAGCCCAGAGTCTTGATATGGGTAGCCTAAATGTGCGCCCTCGTTTTTGGTTCGTCGATGTGGTACTCCCAGTCTTGGGGATCGCTCTTCACTTACTGCTCTCGGCATTGAGGATGAGGCTCGCCCCACTTTTACCGGCGATTCCCCTGATGCGTCCACTTGGCATGTTGGCACTGGTTGGCGCTTCCTTTTCTCCAGTCGCTCCTCCATTGGTTCTTCGTCATCCGAGTTAGATTCAGCTCTATCCTTCCCTATCAAAGTTCTTTGCGACACGATAACATTCTTCAACTTTTTTTCAAACATCCGTTTGAATTCCTCGCGAAGATTCTCCTTCTGCTTAGCAAGGATCATTTCTAACTTCCACTCCCTATCAGCCTCCTTCTTTTCTTTAGCCTTCTTCCTATCTAGCTCCAATCTACTCTTCTCCTCCTTTGCCGTGCGTTCCTGATCGTTTCTCTTTCTTCTTTCCTCCGCCTCGTGCGCTTCGGCCTCGTGCCGCTCCTCCCTTTCAATCTGGCGATTTGTGTAAAGGCACACCATCCTCAGTGATTCCTCCAGTTTCTTACTAATGCCAGGCGCTGCGGCTATGGCAGGCTCGTTCTCGCTGTTGAAGCTACTAGCTCCGTTGGTATTGTTACGGTTCCCTCCATTGCTGAAGCTACCTTGCCTGGGAGCATCGCACTCCCGGCTGATATGGCCGTATTGGTTACAATTGTAACACTTCACTGATCTTTTCCAGTCACCACCTCCTCCATTATTCCACTGATTACCACCATTGCTCCCTCCATTACAATTCCATCGATTCCACCCCCCACTATTCCAGCCCCCTCGTCCTCCTCCATTACCATTTTCGTTGTTACCTCCACTGCCCCAGTTGCCCCTTCCTCCTCCGTTGTTCCAGTTACCATCACCGTTTCCATTGCCGTTGTTTCCACCCCCGTTCCAATTCCCGCCCCCGTCACCGTTACCTCCTCTGTTATTCCCTCCGTCGTTATTCCCTCCGCCGTTGTTACCACCACCATTGTTGCCATTACGGCCACCTCCGTTATATCCTCCACCATTCATCGTGTCACGTAGTCATGAGCACAGTCGTCGGCAACAGCCTTGGTCCCCACTCTATACGTTTTTTCGGTTTCTCCCGACGCTCCCTTCATCGTGGTCGGCCGTACTTTTGTTACTCCTCGGATCGTCCCGCGGATCGTGGAAGACCGCTTTCAGCACTACCCGTCATGTCTTCCCTCATACCGTCTTCGAAACTCCCCGTCGTTCTGCCCTCCTACTAATATCCACGTGCTTCTTCACTTCGCGGCTCCTTGTGCTTTCCTGCCGGTCATGACAGACATCGTCGGGTGCTGCCTGCGCTGTCCTATTTCTTCGTCGGACCTCTACCGCACTTCGCCATCCATGTTAATCTCGGAACCCGCAAGCTTCTTCTCTTCACAGATCCTCCCAGCCGTTACGCAATATGACGATCGTGCCGGACAACCGGGTCCAGTCAGATCTACGCTACAGGGCCACCAAGCGTAGGTGGAATCCTCCTAGCAGGTTGGCACTGCGAATACGAATGTGAAAGAGATGGAGACAGACAAACTGACCCAATAACTCAAGAGTACTTAAGTCAAAATTTTGATTCTTCATTAATAAATAAAAAACATAATCCAATTGAAAAAATAAATTGAAATACAGGGATGATTTTTTTATTGTCTTTTATTATTGTCATATTATTCGCAATATGAGAAAATAAAATATTCGATTTGAAGTCTTTTGATGTATTTGATAAATAACATATGCACATATGAACATAACCATTGGTGGGTGCTTCTATATGAGCTAAAACACCCGCTTCTAAAGAATTGTCAGATCTTATATGTACATTTCATTTTGTTTACTCGTTGTGTAAAACAGTTATGTACACTTTTTTCCTTACGTGCATGGTCTGATTGCGACGACGACCACCATAAGGACACGGGTTGTACCCCTTTCCCATGGAGTGGGTATAGTTATGACCCGCCTAAGGTTGGCCACACTCGGGCGGCTGGCCCCATGCCCACTCACCTCCTGTTCCATGTTTTTTTAAATAATCCTTCTATGTTGGTTCATCCGTGTGTTAATTGTTTGGTGACATCTCTTTATGTAGGCGTTGTTTGTCTGTCAGTGAAAGACTCATAGGATTGCTGTTGTGAGCACACTCATCGGGAGATGCAGTTTCACATTTGAATCGAGCGCCCTCTGTGGCAATGCTGCTCGCGGTGAACAATGGACAAAAAGGGCGATAACAGGATCCCAACCTGAGCCGTTGGGCTTAAAGTCCTTTCATCTTATGCACTCACCTCTATTTCTTTGCATTGGAAAACCAAAAAATCAAAAAATATTTGTTTCATAACTCAACAACAATGAATCTGCAATTAAGGAATGATCAAAGAGCTTCCCCGATATTGCTCACCCCTCTCAGGAGATTTCCTGCCTGGTATACCAAACTTTCCTTTGGGACACTATATTTAGTTTGATCATTGCTTATATGTCCAACTGCCAGACACCTGTTTCTCATCGCATCGATTGGAGTGCATACCTGGAGTGAAAAACTAACTTGTATTTTGCAGAAGGTTGGTGCAAGAAACAACTATGTTATTTTAACAGTGTTGTGCAGGCACAACAATTTAAGTTGCAACTGCGAGGAGTTGAACCCCTTGAACCAGGTATGGATCCCCTCACTGTTTAAGGAGCGATCTATGCAATTCATTTGCCTTCTGGACGTTTTTATGTTGGACAGACGATGCATTCTGCACATCAACGGTTGCAATAACATTGGTACATATGACCCTCTTCTGCTGCTTTTCGCCATCGCCATTTTTATCGTGCAATATGTGGGCAACCATAATTCAACTTTGTGGCTTGACCCTTAGAATGTATTGATCTTACCTTTTATCATACGACATAAGGTGTTGTTGATCATGCCCTCTTCCAACGGGTTGCTGCATCTCGTGAGTGTTTCTAGGTTCGGAAACTTCGAACTCTTCACCCCGTTGATTTCAATGCAGTCCTTCCAGTGGCTTAACTATCGTCTCCACGACGACACTGCCACCCGTATTGTTGGGCACAAATGAGCCATCGTCCCTTTGTTCCCCAACCCCCTCGACCTCCTCAACTCCTCCTGTTTCCCTCCCTGCCACATTTATTGCTGCTCCATCCGTTGGCTCTTATGCTCCACCCCTTTTACGGACACCCCCTCAGTCTTTACCTCTCTTGCCCACACCTTCGGTTATGTTATTTGTTGTTGATCTTTATCCTGGTCCTGAACTTTTAACTCGTACTTCACTGGATCGCCTTCTCACTGAAGCTGCTTCGAGTAACTCGTGTCATGTCAATTCTAATATTGAGCAAGTAACACCAGGATGGCGGGTACGACTATTGCAATGACTATACAACAATGTCTCCAATGTAGACATGACATCACACATTCGAGAACTCAAATGCGTGTTCCGGAAATCCCAACATACTTGCTAACGTTACACAACACAACCTCGTTACCCATTTACTGACCACATCAAGGTCGTACGCGTGCATGAGGTAGTTCGTGCTACAACCTTGCGCCATGTGTTACAATTGCCAAAAATTAGTTGCATTGCACCCTAACCCTCAAGCAGTCACACATTTTTGTGTATGTGACAAACCGATGCCACCCACATGTGTCCAATTTTGTAACTTCAGTGATGTGGTCGTGAGTCTTACTCCTGGCATGACCTTACCCGACTCCTCGAATTGTGAGTGCCGCAAAACCTTTCCTCATTGTTCTGATCTTGTCGATGGCCATGTTGTGTTTGTTGACTAGTCTCCCCAAGTTGTTTCAAGAAGGGTCAAAGTATCGCCTGAATGGCGAAAGTGCCGATGTGCTTCAGGCATTGGCAATTGAACTTGATCATTACATTGCCAATTATAAAAGGTTGTTGACCAGACATTCTCGATCTACGTTTTTCTCTTATCTTTCTCAGAAGTTGAACAACTGGCGTTCTGCAATCCTTACGCATTGTTAATCCAATGCAGCCTTGTTCTTCAATCACGTGAGCCTTCGCTCTATACATGCCTCCTTGCACCATCTGAAACAACACTTTGTCATTGTCGTTGTCATCGCACAAGTTGATAATTTGCTGCAAGAATTGGTATTTGTTTCGTCTTTCCACCCATTTGGACAGTCCCACTTATACTCGTCCTGACAAATTCGTTTCTGATGTCCTTAACCGCCATGCAATATGGAACCACCATTAGGGCTACACCTATACAGATATCCTACCTTACCTTTACTATGTGCTGAAAACGCACAAATCTTCTGTTACTTTTCGTAGCATTCTTGTAGTCATAACACATAACAGTGTTGTTCCCCCGGGCACTTGCCCTCGTCCAACAATTCGCACTATTCATGAACGACCTCCTCACAAACCATTGGCTAGCACAAGAACTGCTTCGTTGTATCTCAACGCTGCTTTGGAAGGAGTGATCTCTACTCTTCTCGAGAAAGATACTCAACTATATCAACAGGTAGGGGTTAAACGGTACTGACTCGTTCAGAGTGTTGATGAAGTGGCGATTGATCTGAAAACAATTCATCGTCTCTTCGTGGCCTCTTTCCTCGCACGGTTGATTTCACCACAATGTACGCCAACCTCCCTCATAACCATATTCTAAATAATATGACAAAATTTATTGGTGAAGTTTTTGTTTATGCCCTTCAGCATGCTCGCACGCATTCGCGTTGCAGTGCTCTAAACATGACTATTCGAGGACCTCGTTGTGGCCAATGGACAACTGATTCAGGCCCCGACACCCTTTCTGAAGTTTCCGTTTCTCATATTTTCCAACATCTTTGCTTGCTTGTACAAACACTTTTATGTACACGAGAGATGACACACTTTAGAAGCAAATTATCGGTATTCTAATGGGAACAAATGTTGGCCTAAAAATTTCTAATCTGACACTGTATTGGGATAAAGCACACTTTGTTGATGCAGCTCAATGATACACCTTCACTTATCACTTAATTGATGATGTTCTTTCATGGGGGCAATTACCTTCTCCTTCGGAGCACTATGGGCTTGAGTGGAAGGAAACAACCGCGATTGATGGCTCGTGTACCTTTTTAGGTGTGCATCTACGAGTTCGTTTTGATGGCTCGCTTCGCATGAGTATGCTTGATAAAGCGGCTGCTTAGGATTTCCCTGTCATTCATTATCCAAGTGCGATCTCCAACATCCCTTCCCATCAACCGGCGAGTGTGTTCACTGGACAATTATCAAATTCGAACACATCTGCAACAATTGATAGAATTTTCAAACTGCGTCAACAACACTTACTCGTCGCATGCTTTCTCGTGGTCATTCCCCACCAACCCTTGCTAAAGGGTGAACCAACTACATGCGCTTCCACGAGCGTCGCTATCCTACGCATGTGAAGCGTCTCTCTCCGTGGTTTCGACACATGCTGCGATGATTCCCGTATCATCCACTTTCTTCTTTGATGCCCCGTCGCTCTTGTCCTGCTCCCGCTTGCTCATCTATTGCTACTGCAGTTTCGGCTCCTTCACCTTCCACTGCTCCAGGTTCCGCTGCGGGAGTTTCTACAACTCCTATTTTCTCTCTAACAATTTCTGCTACAACAGTTGTCATTGTTGTGGTAATTTTTAATGCTGCAGTCCCAACTGCTACGGTTTCCACAACTGGAGTTCCACCACTACACTTTCTACAACTCCGACTCTCACTCTGCTAGTGTCTGCTATTGCAGTTTCCACTACTCCAATTCTCATTACAACTTTCTCTGTTGCAGTCCCTCGTATTATACTTTTTCATGCTACAACTTCCTCTACCACAACTCCAGTTCAAAGAACATCACAGTCCCTTCGACACTCACGTCCTTTGTTTCAAAATCCTGTCCAATCTACCCCCCTTTCATCTTTTTGTGTGCTTGGCCACAGACACTTGTCCTCGGCACCCCCATCTCCTCCACAATCTCGCGTGCGAATAGAGTCTTCGGTTTCCATTTTTCTCATTGTTCCACCTTCGTTGTCAGGGACATGTTCATTTTCTGTTTGCAACACCACTACTCCCCTTACTGTGTATCATCGACGATATCCGCGACATCGTTACTTGTCCGGGGATCAGCAACCTGTTTGTTTGTCCAGTGCCTGCTCCTTAGGTTGTTGCGATTCCTTTGTTCCAAACGACAATATCCACTCCTATGCATCCGACAGACATTCCAGGTGCCTGCAGAGAGCTACGACACCATGATGTCTTATCCCCTTCGGCATTAGATGTTCCACCTGTGCAACATGATGTGGTCCCGATTCCCAGGATAGTTCCTGCTCAGGATGCTTCCCCAAGCGTTGAGGGATT